TGGGCCGGCGATGACACTGGTGCAGCGGTGGGGCAGCAGTGGGTCAGGGGTAGCAGTGGGGTGGTGGGGCGGCGGCAGTGGGGGGCAAAAGGAGGGTAATTTGGACATTTTGATGATGTATTCAACCCTCACTAAAAATGAGGAAAAGTCAAAGTAGGAAGCTTATTCCCGGACGGAGGGAGTACAAAATAGTGGATGTGAGACCAGTCATGAAACAATTTCCTGAGGTTCGGCGTTTATATGACCAACTCACCTTCACAACATGAATGTGAGCGAATCCTTTGTGGTCGGTTCCATAAAAAAAATCCCCAATCATGGAAAGACGTTCTAGATAATCTCAAATATGAAAAGCTGGTACTGTCACTTGAGCAACTTGGTCCCTGAATTCAAGTTGAAGATGGAGTCAAGAAGCTTGAAGGACGAAATGCCCAAAAGAATGATCCTCCAACTTCCTTGGTAAATGTCATGGAGGAGGGACAACGAAGTTCTACAAAGAAAAATAAAAAGCTTTCGAGAAAGTTTTCCACATAGTTCAAGAAGAAGCCTAAAACAACTAAGGAGGACTCTTGTTGGGGTTGTGGTGTTCCACACATTAAAAGGGAATGCCGAAAACTAAAAAAGAAGGTGGAAGAAAGTGCCTGCCGAAAACAAGAAGATTAATATTGTTGGGTCAACACCAGAGCCAGTAGGCATGTATGTAAAGATATGCATTCTTTCACTACCTATAAAATGGGTGAATCTTATAGATGGGAAATGATTCTTTTGTTGAAATCCAAGGAATTGGCCAAGTAGAGTTAAATTTAACTTCTGAAAATAAACTGGTACAAAATGATGTACACTGTGTACCACAAACCTGGAAGAATCCTGTTTCTAGTGGTGTCCTAAATAGCTTTGGGTTAAACCTTAGTTTTGAAGAAAATAAGTTTATCTTGTCCATGAGAGTTGTATATGAAACCGCCCGAGCAGCTTGTTGTTAGAGGTCAAGAAAGGAAGATTTTCAAGCTTGCTAAATCCTTGTATCACTCTAAAGAAGCACCTACACAATGGCATGAAAGGTTTGATGAAGTGATTTTGACTAATGGATTCACGATAAATCAATTAGATGAGTGTGTATATTGCAAATTTAATGACAAAGGTAATGGTGTCATAATTTACTTATATGTGGATGACATTTTTATATTTGGAACTGATATGAGGCAAGTTGAAGAAACAAAAGGCTTCCTCTATTCTAAGTTTTCCATAAAAGATATGGGAGAACTCGTAATCTTAATGCGTGAAGTCTTGGGCAATGATTCTGAGTCGTTGAAGCGCGTGCATCTACGAGCAAGTACAAACGCTTTGTTGGTCACCCATAAGCCTAAAGAATTTAGTGGAATCTTGAGAGGTTCTCTCGGGGACTGATGTAACCACAAGTTATGGTGAACCAGTATAAAAATCACAATGTCTTTATTCGCTCTTTTATTTCCATACTTTATCTTATTCATGTGATTTTAATTCCATGATTATTTTTAAACATTAATCTCATGTCACACTGTTCACCCTCATATAGTGTCACGCACTTATTCTAACATACTTTCAATGATTCTTTAACATACTAACCAAAATGGAAAAAAGACAATAAAAAGATTATCATTATGCCTTAATTTTTTTCTTTGGGTAGAGGAGTTATGTTATTAAGAGATTAAAATAACTCAATGTCGCTTCACTTCTTTTTCTTAAAAAAATGAAAAAATATAAATTAGGAAGATCTAAAAACTATGGACAAATACATTAAGACAGAATAATAATTACTAAACATATGTACCCCTAATTTTATTGCCTCATTGCTTTGAATGAATGAAGTTGGTTTTCAAAAAAAGAATGAATTTTGACTTTATAAATAACATTATACCTAGTTTGTAGAGTTTAAAAGTAAAGGAAAAGATAGAACTTGTTGACTAACATGGTATCAGAGTATATCCTAGGGAAACCATATGACTTCCACCATTGATCTCTTCGACGACGACATTATCGTTGACTTTTGCTGATCATATCATTGTTGGCAGCCCCATCATCGTTGTTATGTGCCTTACATACCTTACAAACTCCTATAACTATAACTTTACTTGATGGCACTCACAAAACATTAACCAAGGTAGGGAATGTGATCCTATCTCCAGACTTGATGAGTGTAGCACTTGTACTTCTTAGCAGTTTCATTGTGATACTTGTATGCTTGCAAAATTCAATACATCGCTTTTACCAAAAGCATGCCCTTTACTTCGGTACCTTTTCAAATTGTGCATGTTGATTTGTGGGGGCCATACAGAATGCCAAATATTACAGGGGCAATACTTTTCTTGACTATTATGGAGGATTGGACTAGAAGTACTTGGACACAACTGGTACAAGCAAAAGAACAAGTTAAAAGAACCCTTTCTAACTTTCTAACAATGGTGGAAACACAATTTCAGAAAAGGGTTCACTGTATTAGATTAGACAACGGAACATAGTTTATTAATTCCACTTATTCAGAAATTTTTAGGAATAAGGGAATCATACACCAAAGATCTATGGTCAAAACTCCTCAACAAAATGGGATAGTGGAAAGAAAACATAGACATTAGATGGATACAGCAAGAGCCATCAGAATTCATGCCCATTTTCCTTAAAAAATTGGGAGAACGTGTCCAAGCTGCGACGCATATCATAAACAAACTCCCTATGGAAATATTACATTCAAAGACTCCTTTTGAGATGTTGTANGGAACATAGTTTATTAATTCCACTTATTCAGAAATTTTTAGGAATAAGGGAATCATACACCAAAGATCTATGGTCAAAACTCCTCAACAAAATGGGATAGTGGAAAGAAAACATAGACATTAGATGGATACAGCAAGAGCCATCAGAATTCATGCCCATTTTCCTTAAAAAATTGGGAGAACGTGTCCAAGCTGCGACGCATATCATAAACAAACTCCCTATGGAAATATTACATTCAAAGACTCCTTTTGAGATGTTGTATAACAAGGAAGCAGCTTATGCTGAGTTAAGAGTGGTGGATTGCCAATCTTATGTTGTGAATCTCCACTCAAAAGACAAGTTTGATGATAAAGGGATAAAGTGGTTTCTCCTTGGCTACCCTTTTGCACATAAGGGATACCAGCTATATGATATACAAGCCTAGAAAATATTTCACATCAGAGATGTAGTCTTTCAAGAGTACATCTTTCCCTTTGACAAAAGAGATACATCAGGGTCTGGTCACAAGCAAACCACTTCTTGCTTACCTCTCCCTTTGTCTTCAAATTAAGATTGTGATTATAACCCTATCACTAATCTTCTATCTAGTGTACCACTCACAACTACTCATGTACCTGCTCTTGATATCTCTATTTACAGTAAGTAGATTCATGGAGAGGACACATTTAGTGATGTACAGTACTTCAAATGAGGTAATCACTCATTATTGTCAAAAATGCTCTTGCTTCATATTTAGAATATCTTAAACAACTTGGTGTGTTTGGAAACTTAAATTTGGATTTCAAATCTAGATTCTATCCAAATTACTTGTTTGGAAACTCAAAGAATTTGGATTTGAATTTGAACCAAATTCTTCTTATTCAAAACTAACTCAATTATAAATCCACACCCCTCCCAATGTCATTTACAAATTCAAACTTAATTTTTCTTTAATTTAAAACTTGTAATTAAAAAGTGATCTTCTCTTATATAATAACAATTCCATACATCTAAATCCGCTTCCATAACCGTCTTTGCAACTTCAAAATTCAAATTCAAGAATTAAAATTCTATGACTTCCCAAATAACATTGTAAATTTGAAATTATGAAAATTCAAATGTAATTTTAGTTTCCAAACACTACCTTGTTGAATATTTAGAAAAAATGAATGATTAATTCAAGACTTGTGAAAACGAGAAAATGAACTAATAAATTGACGAAGGGAATAATAAATAACTGCACAAATCAATAGGAGAAACAAGATTCATTGATTTGTGTAGTACAACACGTTGCTCACTCCTAGCTAGGGCTGGGGTGGACAATGTCATTCGAATTTCGAAATCGAAACAAGAGCTAGAACCTAAGATTCCAAAAATGGAACTGAAATCAGACCGTCAAGGAGGGTTCTTGTTGGGGAATTAAACACACAATACACACAAATAATTCGCGAGAAACGAGAGAAACGGAATACAAACGACACACAAGAATTTAGCGTGGTTCGATTTCCCTAATCCACGGCTGCAACAGGAGGAATTTCTTATTTCACTTGTGGTGTCTCCCCGGAATTACAAGTACAAGGGCTAATATATAGGAGAAAAAACCTAGGGTTACAAAACATGGGCCGGGCCCACAAGTCAAGCTCAAGCCTCCACAAACCCAACATTCTCCCACTTGGAGGCTTGATAGTCATCAACTACCATCCACCACGATTGCATGTACATCGAGTAATATTCCTCAGGTCTCCTGTTGTAGCGGCTCTCTCATCAAACAACTAAAAGGCCCATTGAAGCTCTCCCAAGCTCCAACACGTCAGTCACGACAAAATTTGCCCCTGACTCGTCCTCGGTCCCTACCGGCTCCCACTACAGATGCAAACTGCCGGATCCTGGAACATCTTGAGAACAAACACTCTCCATACTCAGCAAGAAGTTTTCTAGAGATGTTCCAAGAGCTGGAATACTGGTTCTCCTGACCCAATGTCTTCTATGAAACTTGGCTGAAGCGACTCTTGAGCTCCCACGGCCATAAATACCTCTGACTGGCCTCCTTGAACCTTTCCTCGCTCGTTCATCCTAATCTGACCTGTGGCTCTAGGCTTCTCTCTTGCATAGATAACCTTATTCTGCCCACGAGACTCTATGAACCGAACTTTGTTTCTCTTCTGAACTTGGACGGTCACTCCCTCATATGGTAACTCGATCATATACAACGAACCCCTCTTCTTTCCGCGGGCGATGACAAGATTTCCCTTCACGACCTTCCACTGCCCATCTCTGAACTTCACCTCGTGTCCTTGTTCGTCCAACTGCCTGACAGAAATCAAACTTTACTTTAAGGCTGGAACCACTCTAACATTCTTCAAAGTCCAGAAACTGACTGGGGTCTTCAGCACTATGTCACCCATGCTCGTAACATCAAGAGCTCTATCGTCCGCTAGTCGTACTTTTCCAAAGTCCCCAACAACTAAATTCTGCAATACTTCACTGCTGTGGGTAGCATGAAATGAAGCACCAGAATCCATGACCCAGGAATCCACACTACTCTCCGGACAACAGATAAACAAATCCTCGTCGCTTGCGGAGCCTTTAGCAATCTTCACTTATTTATCCTCTTTCGGGCACTGATTCCTGAAATGCCCCACCTCATTGCACTTCCAGAACGTTACGCCTGAGCTATCCCGAGTCTTCGATTGACTCCTTCGTCTGTTCTTACACCCACTACCTCTGTTATTTCTTCTGCATCTGACGATATTTAGTGATTCTTCCGAAGACTCACCAGAACTCCTTCTTCTGACATCTTCGCCAAGAACGAGGTCACGAATCTTCTCAAAAGTGAAT